TTCGTCTATCAAGTGGGACAGTGGTAGTAATATCTCGATTTTCATCACTAAATGATTTTCTCATTAAATGACTACCTAAGGGTGATAAGTGTGCCATTGAGGAAATAATAGCCTCTACTTTCCGTAAAGCTATATTTACATATTTAAAAATGAAAGTGCATAAAAATGCATTTCTTAATGCATGAATTATTTTTCAAACCGTTTCCTTGAAGAAGGTTGTAATAAAATTTATCAAAACAATATTATTGTTGAAGATATGATCATTGGACGTTACCTAATAATGAAATAGTAAAGTTTTTGCTTACTCTAAGGCATCAAAAACACATGTAAAAATTCATTATACTACATATTTTACAACATACAAAGAAAGCCAACTTATAGATTCTTACAATGTCCTTGAAGTATATATTTGTCTGACTGTGAATTAAACATCCATTAAAACCTATGTTTTTTTAGTTATAAAAATGAAACTAAATAAGCTAAGTCACAAACATAGTACGCACTCCTGTCAATTTCTTATATTTATTTATCACACAGATCTACTTATTACAAGTCAAGCAGAATTGACATTTAATACTATTAAAACTATTAAGTTTTACCGAATGAGAAAATTTTTTTCTTTACTAAAATATAATTTAGTTAAATTATTAAAACACTTTAATGTATTATGATTAGCATCTGTAGAATTTTTGACTTTTTTGAAATATATTAGTAAAACCCTAACATACATCAATAACAAACCGTGTTTTCAACACTAAAAGCGATGATAACCATACAATTATGATGTACTAGGGCTCGGACTAAATATAATCTCAAATCAGGGTAGAGTAAACTCGAAACCTAATCAGTGATTTCATTGGTTGCCCGCAAACCAAATCAAATGATTGTTGTTCAAATCCTGTCATAAATCGCAAATAAGCTATTGTGGTATCAGCCGTGGTTAAATCCGGTCACAGAACCAAAGCTTTGGAACCAATACTAAGCTCATATTTTCTTAGTCATACCATTGAATATTGGTTACTGATTTCAAAGGGTTATATTTAGGTGAAGTAAACATCCTAATATGTAATATATATACCCATTCACACATAAAATCAATCCACAGGTATTAAGAACTTATTAATTGTAACGTCTTTTCAATCGTATTAACTGTAGTATACTTTTACATATATTGAATTCAATTATAGTCTTACCACTTAGATAATTAATTTTATTCATTTGACCAAGCTGTATTCAAGAAACAGTCATAATCAATTTCAAAGTATTGATATTTAATTATTTACTGATCAGTATTATGATAGCGCTATCTAAATGTCTATCGTGTATTCGTACCATATTAATGTTTTCTGTGTTCGTGTTCGTGTTTTAAATGTGTTTTTGACGAGTTGCAAGCTTTGAAAATGTTGTCTTCGCAACGAAACATGTAAGCTGTTGAGCAATATCATTTTTGGACTATTTGACTGAAGTATGTAAACAACCTATTATTGTCTTTACAATATAGTCCAGGGGCCGAAAACATGTATTTTGATTTAAACTGTAGTTAAAATGTCTACCTAAAAGGTTATTTTTAAACTAAGCAGATATTTACCTTTACAAAATAGTAATTAAAGTAAAAAGGTTTTTAGGGACATTTCTTTTTAAGCTGCGAGTAGCGCGTGAAGCGGCGTTTCTTAATGAGTTTTTATCATACATTTATTTTAACAGGCTAATTACTTAATGTATTATTGATCCATTGATCAGTAGGCCTACAGTGTGAACATATGTTGAGACTATTAAGACAGAATCAACATGGAAGATTGACAATCAAACCAATAATGTAAGATAACCCTTTATTTCTTGTCATTGGTGTACATCAGCTATAAAGAGGGTTTAAAGGTAAAATATCCTTCTTACTGTTAAAACATAATATTAATTAAATGAGAAATCTGAGTAATATAGTTGGGGAATATGTGCGATATAGTTGAGAAATTCGAGTAATAAATTTGGTAAATCCGTGTAAAATAGTTGGGAAATCCGTGTAAAATAGTTGGGAAATTCAAAGTTTCTCCCCCCCCCCCAATATGTTTTTCGTACGACGCCCCTGTGTATAAATCATTGTACTTGTATGACGAATTAATTCTTAAATGATCGTGATTACTTTTTCGTTAACTTGAGTAGTTAACTTATATTAAATATTAATATATTAAATATATATTAAATTAAAATTAGGCAATGAGTTATATTTAGTTAAACGGAAATTTGGTAATCCAATTGTGGAGTAATTGTCGGTGAAAAATCGATTTTACTTTAATTAAATGTATGTTCAGCTTGTTAAAATTTATTCCGTCTTCATAGCTTACTGAACTCTTGTGAGCTTGAGACGGAGACAATAAATTTTACTGGAAACTATCACAAGAGATAGTAGTTTTAACTAAAGTTTTCGGTTGAAAAGATAGTTGGCTAAGTTTGTTGAGACCAATTCATAAATATAGGTCACTAAGTCTTTGAATTATTGCTAGTACCCTTTGTCTTATTTGTTACTATTTTAATTCCATTATCGACTGTTAACTAGTTAAATTTTGATATGTTCATATCCTGGAATGAAATAAAGTACTTAATTGCTTAAGCTTCAGTGAATCGTGTATTTGTAAGCTTGTTTTGATCATTACTAAGATTAAGATACAATCAGTACTTGAGAACAATTATATCTTATTCTTTAAAGTTCTGCAAAACTAATAACAATGTCTTGCAATAGAAAGTTCTAAACAGTCATTGGAAACAACGAAGAGTAATCAGGTTAAACTACCTGCGACCTGTCTCGAGAATTACAAAACTAAATTGCTTTTGTAAAATGAACAAAGGTGTGTTTTGCATTTGAACTTCCAGAGACAACTTTGTAATTAGGTCGTGGAACGGGAAGTGTATTGAATGTACAATAATGTCCGAATCGGTATTATGAGGGTTTATAAAAGTCTTGTTTTCATATCATGCTTAGGAACATATTTTATAATGATACAATATTTAAACTTATCATAATAAAAGTATTTAAAAAAAACTATATAGGCTATTCAAGTTTTTTAATATTAGTGATGGATGGGAGAGCGAGCTGGTCTAGTGGTTAGAGCGCGGGACTTCGGTTCCAGAGGTCCTGGGTTCAAATCCTGCCAAATCTTCAATGGATTTTATCTATGTAATAATGCCGCAACTCCTAGGTCTAGCATGAAGTAGTGTGAAAAATAATTCCGGACTCGTGCCTAAAAATAAAATAAAATAAAAATTATTAGTGATGGATCCATAGATACTGAGTAGTATTCTTAGAAGTAAAAATAAAACTGTATCACATACTATAGGGTTAAAATTTTTTTTTATAATTATATAGACGTTTTCGAATAACACCACAGTTTTACTCGTGTGTAAAGATGAGTCAATACTATCACAGGAGTTTTACAAGTATTTATCTCTGTTGTCAAGGTTGTTAGAGTAATTTTCGAGTCAATCGTAGTAAACAAACAGCTATCAGACAGTTCAGTGACCAAGGTGTTCTATATCTGGTCTACCACTTTCTCTCGATTTTCCAGTGAAACCAATTCCTAAACATGAACCCTTTTATATGTATATATGTGTTATCAAGAGAAAGAAAAGACTATGGTATGTGTAGAGTCAGGACCTTGTAATTTTTAATTTAATCAATTAATCTATCTAAAAATATATATACCCCCGCTGCAGTGAACCTGCATACTAAGTTAATTTCCATTTACCTGACTGGATTTTCACTTAAATATTACATGAAGATTTTCAGATTTATTTCCTATTCAAGAAATATTAATTTTAATGAGTGCCTAGGTTTTCTGATACAGGAAAGGTATTGAGGTGTGTTTTTAGCGAATTTCCCCATAGGGAAGTAGCTATTACCGTAGGTGGCACGGTAAGACCTAGACCCGGGACCGATTTACTTTTTCGTAAGATTCCTTTTTCAACGGAAGAATAAAAAAGTCATTTTCAATATCAAGAATTTTCTCTACAATCTTTGTCTTTATACAACAATGCTTTGACCTAAATAATGTTTATTTTAAACTTTACAAGATGGATGTGATAAAAGTTGGGCATTCCTATGTTCAACGGGTTAAAATTTGATAAAAATAATGTTTGAGAATGTTCAAAACCTTATAAAACTACGTTCTATAACCCTTGCTGGTAAGCGAACTGATTCAAGGTTTCACAGCTCTTCTTATTCATGCAAAATTTTATCAAGATCAGACCGAAGTAAATCAAGTTGTTGTGTTCACTAATACGTACATAACATACATATAAAAGATTTGAACAAATGGTGTTTTGGGCCTTTGTTTTTTTTTTTAAATTAACACGAGTAAGTAAATCAGCCTTGGACCTAGGCCTTATCGTGCCACCTACGATAAAAGCTCCATCCCTATAGGTAAATTCGCTAATATAAAGCAAAACCAATAAGTGGTTACGAAGTTGAAATAAGACTGGCAACAACCTTTTAAAGTATTAGAATATTTGAAGGAATTCTACATTGAAAATAGATTTTTTTTTACCTCTCACCTTCACGTCTTAGACGCTAGACTCTAACAGTTCTACACACTACTTCAGGCTATGCCTAAAGAGTCAAGACATAGCTCAAACATTTTGGTGATTTCAAGAAATTTAATCCCGGAACTGAAGAACCTTACTCCCTCAGACAAAGTATAGAGACAAGGATTCTATGAATATTATAAATTTTAAACAGGAAACTGTCACTTTTTTGGTACAATAACAAAGTTTCTAAATCACGTTAAATGAAAAATGCCAGACTGGGGAGTTACTTGTTTTATTATTGGTTTTAAAATAGTTTACCAGCGAACCAGTTATAATGATTATATAATGATTTAAATATAAATAATAATTCACAAAAAACTAAGAAAATTGGGTAGTACGGATATATTTTTAATGGTTTAAATGATTGAAACATTTCATGGTCATTTTGGTCATTTATTGAATTGATCTACCTTGATGTATTTTCCTTATGCTAGGTAATACGGTACGGCAGGGTAGATTTGTTGAAGTGAGGTAAAAGCACTGGGAGCATCACTAGTATCAGGAGAGGCACGACCCCAGGGAGAGGCAGCAGAAGAAGCAGCAACGTAGATTAGCTGAGAGGTGGCGGGAGCGCTAGGGGCAACGTTGGCAGATTGAAGTCCAGCAGGGAAGACACGGGCCCATGGGAGCATGGGGGGCATGGGAGACCCTCCAGAGGGAGCAGCAGCGTAGTTCAGCTGAGAGGTTGTGGGAGCACTTGGGGCATCATGAGCAACTGGAAGTGGAGAAGGGGAACCTCGAGCCCAGGGAGAGGCAGCAGAGGGAGTAGCAGCGTAGATTAGCTGTGAGGTGGCGGGAGCGCTAGAGGCATCAAGAGGAGAAGGTGCTCCAGCTATCATAAACTTTTCAAAGTAGATTTAGTTTTCAATCTTTAAAAAAGAAAAATGTGTTTATCTGTCTTCAAATAACATAAACAATGTATTTCTAAGTTCTACTAGACGTTTACAATGGTATTTTCTGAGTGGTCTAATTTTTCAAAAGAGGAAAAGGTAAATTTAATCCAATGCAATGTTTCTGAGTGAGATTTTGTTTGGCCGTAGTGCCCGAGGTAAGACTTTCTTTTGTGATACTCCTCTTTGTTTTTGCCACACAAAGGTGTGAAAGTAAATTCATCCTCAACTCATGTTTTATTATTTATTATGTGATTCTTTAATTTCTCCTAAAAGATGTCTAAAATGTGTTATCTCATTATTCATATTTACTACAGTTTTAGCGAATTTCCCTATAGGGAAGTAGCTATTACCGTAGGTCTCATGGTAAGACTTAGGCCCGGGACCGATTTACTTTTTCATTTTGATGTCCCCAGAGGCCAAAAACACCACTCGTTCAAATTTTTATATATGTATATATATATAGGTATATATATATATATAAATAAAGATTAAACATTAATAAACTTAGTACCCAAGTAAAATTATTTATTAAAATATTTACTGACTATAGTATCGGCTCTAAGGCCATTTTCAAAGTACCATTTTGAAAATGGCCTTAGAGCCGAAACTATAGTCAGTAAATATTTTAATAAATAATTTTACTTGGGTACTAAGTTTCTTAATGTTTAATCTTTATTTATATATAGTAGCCCTATTTTTCTATTTTTCATATATATATATATATATACATATATATATATATATATATACAGTATATATATATATATATATATGTCCGTGAACACGATAACTTGAGTAATTTTTATCCGATTTTGATGAAATTTGGTTTGAAGGTGTAAGGCGGGATAAACTTGAATGAGTTCGCGATCCAGCATGATCGGACCATGGGAACAGGGTTTTATGGGGGGTTTTATGGGGTAAAAATTGGTTTTTCTCACTTTTGACCCTCAAAACACAAAATTTCCCAATTTTTCTCTAAACCTTCTTAAAGAGCTTAAAAAATCAAACAATTCAGTATATCAAAGTGTTTTTGTACGGTTATTGGTTACGGAGAAAACAAAAAAAATGGTAAATTTAAAATTCCCATGTTATTCTTATGGAGAATATTGTAAAATGTTGTAGTTTGCTTGTTTATGGATATCTTTTGATCAAACTTGGCAAATATATTCATTTTATACTAAGCAATAATTATTTTACTTAAAACACTCACTTTATTAGTTTCCTTGTAGCAGCAAACCTAGGTACTCGTTAAACCTAATGTTATTTAAATAGATCAATTGAAAATCAATTCAGCCAAATGGAAATTCGCTTAGGAGTCAGGTTTGCTGCGGCGGGGGTATTTGAGTAGACTATGATGTTTTATACCACCAAAAGTCAAGTGACTATTCACTTTTACATTATTAACTATTATCTTTGGCTTTGGATCCAAGAATATGATATCTTGCGGCTCTCGGAAACCGTTTTTAAAGTAAATACCCGTTTTAAAATGTATGATTTAACCTAAATACGAAATTCAAAGTAAAAAATCTTATTTTTGGTTTGTGCATATTAAAATGTATCAGTAAGAAAAAAAGCGTTCAATTTTTTTATGGAATGACTAACTATTTTCATGAAGTAAAATAAAAATAAAAACCATTAAAATGATTGTACTTAAATTTCAAAGCTACAGGTCTGATTTTTTATTGACCTAGCCTCTGCCTTGAGGGTTTTCAATGTTGTGAGGTACGTTTTTATATTGGTCTCCATGGAAACAACTGGAAAACTCACAATGTTTAAATTTACATTTCAATGTAAGCAAGTAAAACTGGGTTTAATTAAAACTAGGAACTTTTATACTAATTTCTTTAGCTACATTACTTCAGGCTAGTATAATACACCTAAAAGGATTTGTTTTCATAACTAAGAAATTACTAAACTAACTCAACAAGACTAATAGAGTTCTGTTAAACGTAACTAAAGAGAAACGCCGAAAGGAATTCTCTAAACAATTTTCTCACTCAAAGAGCTGTGGAACTTAAACAAGTTGTTTGGAGCACAGAAAGCTCTAAACAATTATTGGATACAATGAAGAGTAAACAAGTAAACTATTCGCTTCAATAATTGCAGAATTAAATTGCTTTTCTGGTTGGATTAAAGGTATCTTTGCATTACAAGTTTAAGGGACAACTTAAATGTATGTTTATTGATTTTTTTTATTTAATATATCTTCAGTAAAGTTTTAAACTAATAAAGTACAGCTGAAACAGGTATAACATCATTATATCATATCATTGTTGGTAGACCCAAAGTTATCATGTTTAACGGGTATCTATACAGACTGTCCAAAAGTCCCGGACCGGTTTAATATTTTCTAAACGACAACAGATAAATCAATAACATTTGGTACATCAATACCACACCTAAAAATCTAGTTTTTTTAAGGAACTATCAATTTTCTTTCATGTCATGGAGACGTCCCGCAAGGAGTCAGAAGGAAATCTTAAATAGAAGCATAGGTTGACATGTACATTAAATTAAAGGTATTTACTAGCAGAATTTAATGCCGCAAATTTGAACTCAAACGGATAACTGAGTAAAAAATGGCAGGCGTTCAAAGATTTCTTGAATCAGCCATTTTGAATCTTTGAACGACTGCCATTTTTTACTCAGGCGTTCTTTTGAGCTTGAATTTACGGCATTGTAATCTACTACTGAAGACCTTTAATTTGATGTGCATATCGACCTATGCTTACGTTAATATTTTTCTTCCGATTCCTAGGGCTGTGCCCCCTGAGGAGTAAGCGTATAATAGCAATGCAAATTAAATGAATCTTTGAACCACTGTCATTCTTGGCTCGGTTGTCCGTTTGAGTTCGAATTTGCCGCATTATATTCTGCTAGTAAAGACCTTTAATTTGATGTATATGTCAACCTATGCTTCTTTTAAAGATTTACTTCTGACTCCTTGCGGGACAATTAAGTCCCGGTTTAAATGCGGTTGAGCATTTTTCATGGGACGTCCCCATGATATTACAGAAAATTAATAGTTCCTTAAAAAAGTAGATTTTTAGGTCTGGTATTGATATACCAAATCTTATTGATTTATCTGTTGTCGTTTGGAAAATATTAAACCGGTCCGGGACTTTTGGGACAGTCTGTAAAATTAATACGCTACATGAAACTTTGTCGGTTGAACTCATCCGCAATTTCTTAACCGATTTTATCCATTGACGTCTCATTGGAAAGAGCGTGTCGCGTAGATTTGCAAACTGGCCTTACATTTTTTGAAAAAGTCCCTCGGGCTCTGCCCCACTGGCAGACTCTCATGCTTCCCAGTGATGCGCAAGAGCATGAAAGGTTACAAGAAATTGTTTTTTTTATCTTTTCGATGTTACATTGAACAATGCCCGAGTGATTCATGAGATTGTAACAAAGAAAAAGTCTACTATGTCAAAATTTAGGATAAATTTGGCTGAACAGATTTTGGAAAGTGTCAATCTAACTAACAGACCAGTAGGGGGAAGGCCATCGGTTGCAGCTGAATCACCACTGCGGTTACAGGCCAGGCATTGGGGTCATTTTATAAGGAAGATTTTGCCCACTTCTAAGCAAAGGCCTTCAAGGAAGTGTAGAGTATGTAGTGCTCAAGGCAGGAGAAGTGAAACCGTTTACGAGTGCAGGAAGTGCCTTGTGCCTCTGCACTTAGAAACATGTTTCGAGGTGTTTCACACCCAAACAAACTTTTGAAACCCCGAAAAAAGTTGTAAATAGAGTGTAAATAGTGTGTAAATAGTGTAAAACTGTATATAATATTGTGGCAGAGAGGTCTGGAGCTCACAAATAAGCTAAAAAAGTAAGTGATCAATCTTATATTTATTATATTAGGCTATAAGGTTTTCTTGAGTATTCGACGAATCACGTTTTTGGTTATAATATGCTTGGTAATTGTCCGGTGGTAAGAATAATTATAATATAATCATATTGAGAATGAAAACCCCAACACTTTGAGTACCCACAATGATATTTGGAACGAAACTTTTTTCCCCTGAAATTTCCTAAAATTTCCCTGAAATTCCGGGGAAATTCCCTGAAATTCCGGGAAATTTCCCTGAAATTCCCTAAAATTTCCCTGACAACTAATTTTACCCATTTTATAGTTAAAAATTAATATAATCATGCTAAGAATATAATTTACCATTTATTTCAATACTCACAACACCATAACTTAGTACACATGCAATTTTTGTGAAAAGCTTCTATTAGGCCTATTCAGGCCTATTTTGTTGATTGCAGAGTTTTACAAAAACAGCTATAAAATGAAGGATTTTATATATAAACAAACCAAATAAAGTTTTTTGTGTAAGGAATTGAATACTATTTATGAATTTGGCCAAGAAATTGATTGAAAAAAAAATTAAAAATACTTTTTTTAGGTATGCTTTCATAAAATATATTTTTTTATAAATATATATAAAATCCATATATATTTTTAAAATTGCGATAAAAATTTTTTGATTGGAAATTAGTGTCACATAAAAGGAAATTTTATGTAGATCAATTTAAACACAAGTGTTAGCCATTTATTTCATAAATTACAATTTTTATGGATTTTTTACTAAAACACTGCCCATTGGCCCATTTTAACTCAGTTCTAACTGCATGCTACTAGACAAATAACTCAGTCAGGAATGGGGGTTCAACTAAAATTTAATTGCAACCCTTAAAACAATAAAAGGAGTAATCATTCTTAACTATGAGTATTATAATATCCAGGAATTGTAAACAAGTTATTTGAGAAAGAGCTTACAGTGATATACTGTTTTATGTTTATGAAAAACCTTCAATTGTTACGTTAATGTTACTACCACGTAATTTAAAATTTTAATATTTTCATCTTGATGTGCAAGTAATAAGGTTTAAAGCAATCGGAATTTATAGTTTATATGTTTTGTGGTAACAAATGGAAA